AGGGAGCAAAGACACGGCAGCGTCCAAGCACAGTACACAACGGTTACATTGTTACGCACACTGCCCTCTGCCGTGCACCACGCAGCCCCGGGGTGGTGTAAAGCGCGCGCACACAAAACACTCGCGCGGCCAGATTCCCCGACGCAAAACGAGGACCATGGAGTGGTCCGTCGCTCGCCGTTGCGTTTGTTCTCGCCAGAAGGAAGCAGGGGCAAACCACCAGCACCACCACCACCACGACGTGTGCAGCTTCCTGTGATCACCAACCGCCAGGTGCACTGGGTGTGCGGTCAATTAATTTGTCAATGGAACAGAAAAGCCTGTTGGTAATCACTAAAAACGGAGGTGGTGGTGGAGGGGGAAGGTGACAACGGACTGCTGGAGTTGAGAGTGGGCCACCCCGGTGGTGCACGTTACGCCGCCCCCGCCTCCCCCCAACAGCTCTTGGAAAAGTGGACAAATGTTTGCCACTCGGGACGTGAAATGATTTAAACGTGATTCAGGTGATTGATCACCCGGGAGTTGCTTAACCTTTGGACCTGGCCTTGACGGGTTTTCACCCCCCCCACCACCATCACCCCTTCCTGAATCGAACAAGTGTCTCTCTTTTCACAGGCACTGCGTGCGGCCGGTTTGCGCACGGAACTTAAACTTAAAACTGTGACTTGTGGAAACTGCAGTGGTCTCCTGGATACAAGCCGGAGGGGGGGGGGCCCCATCAAGTCAGCCACGGGAAGAGTATTTGTTTTAAGCCTCCAACCGCCCACACACACTTCAACCAATGGCGCTTCTAATGGTTAGTCACCATATTAATTAGAAAGAGGTTATTGCTTTGAGGTCAAGCAACCGTCACCTCTGCTGGAGCCCAGAATATTGATGTTGGAGAAATGCCACAAATTCATTATGTAACGGTATTAATGTCATGTAACGCATTAAAAGGTGACTCCGTGCGGACGTACTGTAAAAGGTCACTTTTCTATGATCTCATCGTTTTCGGTTGCTATTCGAATCGTAATTTGGCATCCCAGCACACGAGATTGTAACAAAGACAAAGACCACGTCCCCCCCCCCGTATAGCTTTTAACAGTTTCAGTTTATTTGGTATAGCCCTGTGAGCCATTCGGCTTTTGAATCGGGTGCAACCACAACAAACAAAAACACGAATAAGACTGTCGGGGCGCGTGCTACTAGCGAGTAGCGCCTATGACAGCCGGCAACGGGTGGCCAGCACCACCCCCAGCCACCTTTGTCTCCCGAGTGGCAGTGCTGGCTCATCGCACCAGATACATTTTTTTTTGATAAGGCTGAGTTGACCTCAGTACCCCGGGGGGAGTCCCAGGATCAAGGTTCACCAGTTATTGGCCGCGAGGGGGAATCGACCCTCGGGTCGTCGGGTTCGAGATTTCCCCTTACTGTATACGAAGACACCAAAAAGACCAAAACCCAGTAACAACCAGCATGCGGGGAATGCTCGCCGCACACTTCACGTGGACCCACGCTCAAGAAACGCCGCGCGCAATTCAAGAGCGATCACGACGAGCAGCCCATTTAAAAACGCCCAAATCTCAAAGAGCCTTTTCGATCTGGTTTTTGCGTAATGCGTAACTTTTAATGGCGGTGTGCCGATTACGGTGACCTCGCGTTGAAATTTAATTCCAAGATGGCACGAGCGTGGGTTCTCTATGTTCAAGCCTATTTAACGGAGATTCGTGGCTATTTTTTTTCCCTATATATTCATGAAACCGTCTGTGAACGCACGTATTATATTACTGCAGAAGAAGGAACTAAACACATAGTCCAAAGTCGAATAACTGAACACGTAGTGCTTTTGGGGCTCCCACATCCTGAACTGGAATATTACTCACGATAAAAAATATATATTTAGTTTAAGGCATTTAGAGCATTTAAATCCCAGCCAATTGCAAATGACTTATTCCACTGATGAGCAAATGCTGATGAAGCAACATGAACAAAAATATATACTTTAAAAATGCATCCTTAAAAGTAAAAAAATGAACATCTACAAGGTGACTTTATTCTCCGAGATAGTTTTTATTAAGAAAAAAACAGCAACAACTTTTCAGAGGACCACTAAACTGCAGTAATAACTGAATATGAAGCATACCGATGCTACATTTCCATAATTAGTAATGAATATTGACTCTGATTACTGAATCACGAGCGATTTAATGGAGACCGATTTCATTGACGATGATTTATGGCTATAAATGTTCACGCACAAGACGGAGTGCGAGCGAGACGGGCATTGGCACGCATCCCCGTTTAATGAGGACGACGAGGATGGTGACAACGACAATGGTGATGACTGGGAATTGTTTCTCGCTATGATGAATACCAAGGTGCAGCCCTGCAAGTGCTGGCTCACGCCACTCCTGCCATGGAGGGCCTCAACGGGAGCTCTATTACGCCCTTCTAGAGGGTATTTTGGACTTAAGTTCCACACTGATGGACTACGATCTTTGAGGACGACAGAGGCCCCACACTTTACCCCCACTATAATCCACCTGCCAATCAACACTATTCCTATTGTCTGTCGCGTTATCCAAGATTTTATCCATAATGCACAGCGAAGTGGCTTCCTAATACTCGAGATTTTGAATAATACCTGCAGGTTATCCACGATTATTTTTTCACGAAAATGGCCGCCCGTGCATTTGCACATTTCACGTAACTACACAAAAACACAGACACTAATACACCGACATATACGCGGAGACGCACACACAAACCTATTCCAACATATCCGGTCAGTGTGGAACAGTAGAACAGATACCCTCTAGAAATCCCTCGAGTGGAGACCCTTCCTCCAGACAGTAGGCAATTGCAAGTTGGCTCCTTTAAACCTTTTTATGAGAACCGATCAACAGACATACCACACGGGGAATTAATTATGCTTGTCATAGGGTACAAGTGCTGTTGTAAGATGGCTGCTGTTTGCCAAGCAACCATTTGTTTTGTGCATTCCCACATGCCACACAGCATTTGCTCACTCTTGAAGACACAATGACTCAAGAGGCACGAGATAGCACAAATAATAGTCCAAGGTCTGTGGTCCTCTATATATTAAGTTATTGGCCAATTAATGAGTGTTTCATGCGGGAGGAATTCAGAGCACCTGGAGAAAATCCACTTGTATGAGGGGGCAACACTATCCCAAACAGATTGAACATTTCTGCACCGCATTCTGGCGAGCCAGAGTATGGGCCACCTCAAATGCCCACAGCAACGGAGTTTCACAACACTTGTGTGATCCATCAACCCTCGCCGCCTTCACAGTGCTGGATTACGGGCATGCATAGCCACCACTGCCCGGCTATGACGTAGTGGCGTGCGCGATATGATGTAGAATGCATCATGAATCTTGGTACCAGAGACACACTTCAGGAAATCGTTTCAAAGCCTCATTGGAGGGGTGAGCCATTCCAGTTGAGGGAAGTCTGGCAAACTGAAAATAGTTAATTGAGAAAACACTAAGTGTGTATTACAAAACACTTCCCCTAAAGGAATGGTCAAACATTGCAATGTAGAACCCTGCTGTGAAACAAGAGTCTCTGGAGTATTGGGTAAATAAATGTTGAGTGAGCTACATGCCTCCAGAAAAACACACACGAACACACACACGACCATCTATACCATCAAGAATGCACATTAAACATTTAAGCAATCCACTCTAAATTTTGTTTACATGTGTAAAATTATACTGCATTGTTTTGATTCATTGCCAATATCATAATAAACTCACTGTAAACACATACCAGCACATTGTTAAACAGTAGTCGGCTCAAAATATATACAACTCATGCATGTTATAAACCCTAAAACACACGTATTCATATGTTTTCACTCCAGTCATTGACATTTTTGTTCCAATGGTCAGACTTTATACAACAACCCCTATTCTTCTGCACCTGTTTACACGAGGCACCAGGGGTTTATTATGGGATTCGTGGAACTCAATGGTAATTTAATGCGGGGACTCTAAACAGGATCATTTCGTCACATTGCTCAAGAATTGGTCTCGTCTCTAGAGCATCCAATCAATGTCTGACAAGCGGTGTCAGATCACAACTTGGAATTGTGAGAGTAAGACTGTGATTTATTAACTCTCTGATCGATGCGTTTTTTGGGGGGGTTTGTGCCACGCATTAATCTGTACGATGCCCCTACTTTTTCACTTCCATGTGCTAGGAAACTCTTCAGGAGCCAAATTCAGAAATTGAACTGAAATTTACAAGCGCGTAAACCTATGGCAGGTGGTGCCATTAAACTATGCTCGATAACAATCTATATTTTATGAGAGAAAAACATTTGAAAACGTCTTTTGATATAAAACACACTGCAGAAATAATTGCATAGTAACTTAAATTTAGTAGATATGTGCGAATGAACACATGTAAAAACAATTAAAGTATTTTTTCTATGGGCCTTTCGGTAAAGTCACGTAGATAGGTTCAAAGACACAAAAAAAGAAAAAAATAACAAAATAAAATTACGACGTTTCGAATCGCAACGCAAGCGGCCGTCATCAGGAGGAAACAAAGCGATGACGATCGCTTGCGTTGCGATCAAAACGACCTCGTTTTTTATTTCATTTGCCTTGAACCTATGTACGCGGCTTTAGCGAAAGACCCATAGAATATGAATTCCTGCAGTCAGGAAAGCTTTAAGTCAAGATTTAATTCACGTCTTTGTTGCCATCTGCCTTTGACTGCGGGAGGATTTGAGGATTTGTTAACCGGAAACGCCAAGGCACACGCCAGTGCTAATTGCTACACTGAGATATTATTGGCAGAGGCAGCGTTGCGGTGGGGTGTGACTGGGGGGGGGGGGGGGGGGTTCGCGTCAAGGTTTTGGCCCCATTCATTAAGAGAGGGGGGGCTCCAGAATCAAAATCAACGGGTGCCAACTCATCGAGGCAAACGCAAAGGCCACCTCAGATAATGAGCAAAACAAGGAGCCAATTGTGTGCAGTCGCTTACTTGCTCACTCCGCCTCTGCTCACCACCCTCTCTCAATGAGTTGGGGGCCTGCACACGAGACACAATCTAACTGTAAGATCACCCTCAAAAGGTGCCGCTTCCATCATTTCGGACTGCCTTCATTGTTACCGTTCGAACCCGCAAACTATAAAACATTTTTTTTGCGTCCATCACTTCAAATCCTTTCAAAAGTGTTTTCCTTTTTTTTTCCTCCCTCTTCCCGAGCGTCGCTGGACTTTGAGAGAGAAATATTTTTGGAAACGATTCAAGTTGTCAAAAAATGCATTGGGTAAAAGGCTGGGCACGATACACCTCATTGCTTATTTTGTAATCCACGCAGAAGCACAGAAGCGGCATATCCTGTGTGCAGAGAATACAATTTTTTGCTTTGGGATCTGACGCTAATTCCCAGTCAACTTCGTCCTGCAAAAAGTGACAAAGATGTCAGTCTGTGGCTGAATAAAGATCCCTGTGATTTAACAAAGCTGCACACTCCTCTGTGTTCCAATTCTGATGAAGCAGCTTTGTTGTCGTTTTATTGTTGTTTACGTGCCAAACGCCTTTCTGACTTTCGTGAAGCACAAACACATCACGGTCCCCTACCTATTGAAGAAACATAGACTCCCAATCTCCGTAAGTGTACATACAGTAACAACTTTCTAGCCACAACATCACAACATAGCAAGGAATCTATACAAATCGGGGCTAACAGGTCGCAAGACAACTACGTTGTAAGCAGCACTTACGGCATTAGCAAAACTTTTAAGGGTTCATTAAAGACGCGCAGGAACTTAGCTGTTTTAGTCATTTAAACATTAATACGTTCCAGCGATTCTCGATCCACCAATAGATGAAGGCCTCCCCATACCATGTCAGTCACGGGGAATTTATTTGTGTTGAACCATACTTCACGCTGGTCAGTGGGGCTATATTATGGGGGGGAGCGGGCAAGATCAGTTTTGATATAACTTCCCACTGAAGTCAGCCGTGAAATCGTATTCTGGTCGCCGGTTTGCAAAGCGGAGCACGGTAAGCAGCATACCAACAGTTGAGTTTTTTTTTTACAAACTGGTATAGTACAGAAAAAATCGTTAACATGTTCCACAGTGGTTGCAAGGTGGTCGTGTACGCCTCAATTGCTAGCTTTCTGCAAGTATTAATGTAATTTATAATCCGAAAAAATTATCAAAACGTACACAAACACACATGATGTATATAATAATGTCACATTAGATACTGTTTGCGGCTTTGATCGAGATCAGAGCAGGAAAGAGGTAAAGTTGGGACGCAATTATTACATTCCCATTACGCCCAGAGGACATTTTGGCTCAAAGATAATGAAAAATAGTAATTGAATATATTACTGACATTAATTTTTTTTTTAATCCCTTTGAGGTGTTTTTTTTCTTCTCACCTTGAGAGACGTTACTGGTCACGTGATGTCACGGTGTTTATTACTGCAGCGGACCGGTGGCTCACCGGTGGCTCACCGGTGGCTCACCGGTGGCTCACCAGTGAGCCGCACTACACTCCTGGCGACCTGGGTCAAATTGTAGGAGCCCACGGCCAACATCAGTGGCGAGTGATATCTGAACTCAGCTCTGGATCCCCCCCACATTCACCAATCCGCGTTGGCCATGACGGCGACGTTGTTTTCGTCACACAAGCCCAATGGCTGACGCGCAACGTTGGGGAGGGCCGCCTTCATCCGGCATTAAATTGAGAAAGGGTTGTTTATTAAAATTTTACGAGAACTGTTTTAAGGAGACTAGCAGGGAACTCGTTGCTCTGGAACATAAAATAACAGGCGGCTGTCATTGTCATGCTCTTCTCAAAATCCCTGTACTCAGAGCACTAAAAGTAATCTGCTTTTTCATGAAATAAAATACCAAGATGACATGTATTCTGAGGTTTTTTTATATTCTCTAGGATAAAAAACACATTCTGGCAAAATAATTACATTAACAGCAGCACAAATTGAAAAGTTATGGCAATTAAATTAACCGTGTCAGTCTTCCGTATCCGTTACTTCCATCTCTTCGTTGTCGCGATCTATTTGATGTCTTCCGAACTTCTTCCCCTGTTTCGATTGCATTCAATGCCCATTTGTTACACGGAGAATCCTCTTTAGCCAGTTACCCAGCTGGTCTCCGTGGCGACGGCTCCTCAACAGCCACTCACGACAGAGTTGGGGTGTAGAGGAGCCCAGCCAGCAGCCAGCCAGGAAACTCGAGCCATGGATTATTTTTCGATTTAAAGCTTTCGTGACTGCAAGGATTCATTTTCTTTGGTTCTTTCGGTAAAGTCACGTAGAATGAGAATAAAATAATAAAATAAAATAACACAATAAAATTCTCACGACGTTTCGGCCACAACACAAGTGGCCTTCATCAGGTGGAGGACAGCGCTGTCCTCTAGACAGTCTCGTCCCTTCACCTGATGAAGGCCACTTGTGTTGTGGCCGAAACGTCGTGATTTTTGTTGTGTTATTTTATTTTATTACTTTATTATTTTATTCTCATTCTACGTGACTTTACCATGGATTATTTTTAACAGTGGTAAAGTATTATACATTCAACTATGCGTCTATGCCTGCTGCTCAATGTTTTCAAGGATCCTCCTGACAAAATGAAACTACTGATGCCTACTTTGAGACACAGGCGCCTGTCTAATAGTGAATCTGTATATTTGGCAACTTAACACGGGCGAATACATTCTAAATAAGAATGCGTGCACATTACATTATTCTTTACTTGGAAGCTTGAGAAACGTTTCGTTTGTTGGTAATTATGCATGAAACTTTCGCATAGCATTGGATTATGAGTGCTGCTTACAAATCAGATATCTTAATTATCCTCGATGCAATTATTTTATTTAATTACTGTATGTACATTATCGACCATAACAGAATGCCATAACTACTTACCTACCACATGGCTCAAATTAGATTTTAAAACAGACCCAAGTGCGGTTTTCTCGGTTGCGCCGAGCGTTGAAGATATCTCCTCTCAACCTTGAGGCCAAGAAACTAATCCGCCCTGCTTGCAGCAGGCAGGCATCTGCCGGAGTTGAACAAGGTTAAGGAGAATTGCTCAACCCGGCGGGGCTCAACCAGGAAAGAAAAAACCCGCACGTGGGATGACGAGCGGCTGGGGAGGGAAAAAAAAAGACTCGCGCGTTCAAAAATGTTGGCACAAGTGGCCACCCCTCGCCTAGTATTAAGGGTTACCACGATGGCAGCGGCGGATCAATTTGGCGTTGGGAAATTATTGCACGTCGTCTACGTGGGAATAAAGCCGACCGTGAACAAGGGGAGAGACATACTTGGTGGAGCGTCCTTCACTGACTGAATCGGCGGTTGCGTGGGAGCTACTGTCTAGAATACGTTCACGTTCCTATTATTAAAGACGACAAGCCTGTCAAAATCACCCAGCGATTAAAAAAGAAAAAGCATCCGCGAATTATGCCTTCTTAATCAGGAAAGTGTTTGTTGCTGCCTTCATTACCCGCGAGGTCGTCATGGTTACTTGCTTAACAATCGATGCATTTCATTAATGCTTTTATTACATGAATAGAATTGTTCAAAAGCCTCTTTTCCCCCACCGTCTATTGTAATCATGAAAGTTATTTTATGATTCTACAAAGTCAACGACCAAGTGATTCCTTGCTTGTATGAGCATTGAGGCAGTGCTCATCGCTAGTCTACAACCCTGAGCAAAAACATGAAAATTCCACATTCGTATGGTAGGGTTGAGTATTTTAATAGTCCATACCTGTAATTTATTCGGTACATTTACGTACATTATTTACCCCAGTTAATACAGTCCCAGTATTGTCATACAAATCTATCTCATTCCTCCCTAGTTCAATCACTAATTCCTCTCAATCATTCTTAACAAATTCAATCATTTTACTCATTCATAAACTCACTCAATCCTACTCTTTGGTTCTATTCGGTAAAGTCACGTAGGTAAAAATAAAACAAAAAATCACGACATTTCGGCCACAACACAAGCGACCTTCATCAGGTGAAGGGACCAACCTGTCCAGCGGACAGTGTTGGAGTCCGGCCTTCACCTGATGAAGGCCGCTTGTGTTGTGGCCGAAACGTCGTGATTTTTAGTTGTTTTAATTTTTTACCTACGTGACTTTACCGAATAGAACCAAAGAGTATGGATCCTTGCAGTCACGAAAGCTTCAAATCTAGAATTCACTCAATCCTCATTCATTGATTTATCCCGTATTTACTCATTCTCTAATTTATTAACGATTTCTTCATTCTCCGACTCATGCCTCATTCCCCTCTCATTCCCATTCATTCATTCACTCAGTCAATCCTCTCGCTCTCATTCTTCCCTCATCTACGCACTCGGTTTCTCATTTGCACTCGCTGTGTGCCGGCGAACAGCGTCAAAACTTTCTATTTTGCAATGCACACAAGCGCTTTAGATTCGCACGTGTTGAATATCACATTCCATGGAAGCAAATCTGTTAACTAATTTGATTTAAAAAAAAATTGACGTAAAAGGGTCTCTCGTTTCCTCTCGCAATCCCTCTCATTCGTATTTGCCTCTTTCGCTCAATCCTTTCGTCCAACACCTCCCACCAGGCACCCTGATGTTTTCCTGTGACTTCCTGCAGGGCAAGCCATTGCTAAGGATACCCGTTGCTAGGGATACCCGTTGCTAGGGATACCCGTTGCTAGGGATACCCGTTGCTAGGGATGCTGCCTGTTGCTAGAGACGCCCGTTGCTAATGGCGCCGTTACTAGCGGAAGCCTGTTGCTTGGCAGACGATCGGTCGTGGCAACCAGCAGCGAAACATTTAGATTTCGAAATACACGGAAGGCATCTTGGTGTTCAATAATTTTACATTTTGTGGTCCGCATGAAGCATTTTTTTTTTGGTTTCGCAACCATAACTCGGCAAGGAAAGGTCTTAGATTGAAAAATACTATTAAAAATTTTTCCAGCAAATCGATCATTATGAAATGTGTACACATACCTGGAGAAAATGTGGATTTGTATCAGGTGTGTTGAAAGTAACAAAGACAAAGATCCCCCGTGTAGCCTTAACAGACTGTAGGGGCAAGTGCTGTTAGCGAGCACCTATGAAGGCCGGCACGGCGCACGAGTCGGTGGGTGGCCAGCAACCACGCCCGTCCGCCTTTGTCTCCCCAGTGGCGATGTTTACACACCATACCAGGTACTGATTTGAGGCTGAGTCGACCTAGGGGAGGAGGCCCGGGACCGGTTCATATAATAGTCACCGATGTTTAGCCGTGAGCAGGAATCGAACTTGGGTCACCGGGTTCGTAGCGCAGCAGCGCACTAACTACTACACTACCGCACACACATACCAAGAGAAAATTGAAGAAATGTATACATAGATATCAAGTAGCATGAAATGATCAAGTTGTACAATGGTTAGAATGCACAACAAGCTCAAGGTGGTTATAAGATCAAATCTTGATCAGAGATTGACTCAACCCCTCGTGCATTCATCATCACCACGATCAGCCACGATTAATTCACTGCTTGATGGGAATGAACTGTGGGAAATGTTATACGAACTTCACGGAGAAGGCTGCAAAGTTGCAGGAATGAGAAAAATAAAGCAATGTGCAAATTAATCCATCCAGAGTAGCAATTTGTATATGTTCACCCTTACCAATTTGTATATGTTCACCCTTACCAATTTGTATATGTTCACCCTTACCAATTTGTATATGTTCACCCTTACCAATTTGTATATGTTCACCCTTACCAATTTGTATATGTTCACCCTTACCAATATGTATATGTTCACCCTTACCAATTTGTATATGTTCACCCTTACTAATGGAATGTGGAATTCACAATGCCGTCCCCCAAGTTCATTATGAATACGAAACCACTTTTGAGATTTTGAATTTTAAAGTAGATGGAAAAGTCTACGTTATTTGGTTGGTGATGGCCAATCAATTACATAAGCCAACAACTGTACACGGATAGAATGTTTTTTTTTGTGAGGCTAGCCTACTCTAAGATGTTTTCCTATCACGAATCTCTGCTGTATGACGAGCAAGAAGAAAAAAAATCACAATTAAAGATCGTTACGATGTGTCAACCTGATTTTTCATAATTCTATAGTCGACGACCAGACAGCATTGACGATTTCTGCATAAGTGCACTGCTGTAACTCTACGCACCAGAACTACGCCTTCACGCAAGCAGACGGAATAACTGCAGATGCAGACTACAGACTGTGAAGCGAGGATGTCCATAATATATGGGGGGGGGTTTTTTGGGGGGGGGGGCGATTAGATCGCTGTGTTGTATTCACAATGAGGAAGAGACATAACAAGGGATAATAAGGCTTCCCATGTGTAAAGTGGGTTCATTTTGTCAAACCTACCCCTTACAAAAGACCAACATTTATAATTTATACTTGTGTGGGGGGGGGGGAGGAAGAAGAATTTAAAGAAAAGTGCACGTTCTATTCTTAGGCGTAGCTGGTGGCAACGTTTCCGTTTGCTTTTGTCCCAGGTAAAGGTAGCAGTGAATTCATATATTATGGAACGAACCATTACCACGAGCACTGAAACTTGTAATAAATAAATTAACGATATTACCCCCCCGATGAAGTTACTTAAGCTTACAAAGTAACGGAGCCGACGAACATGCGTACACCATGCAGCATTAAAGAACAATACCTAGCATGTTGCTTAACGGCTCAAGCAATAAGTTATTATCATGTGAAGTCAATGAGATGTGCTGCTGAATACATCATCTCGAAATATTCACACCGCATACCGAACTTGCTTGTTCATAAGGAGATATAAATCACCAACGAACAAGACCCAAAGTCACATTTGAAAGCATCATTGCCGATATCCCAAAAAAATCGGCCGGTTTATCATGCAATGCCCTTCGACGAACCTAGCGATCCGAGTTGGATTCCCGGCTACGGCAAACATCAGCGGCGAGCAACGTCCGAGTTGGTCTTCGGGCTCTCCCTTTCACCAATTCACCGACCCGCATTGACCGGCGATTTAACGTACAGCCCAACAACCCCCATTACCAGCACTGTCTTCATCCAGCAGTGGAGTGACAAAAGCGTATTATGAATCGGTTTCCTCATTCACGGGTTGATAGCGACTCCACTCTTTCCAAGAAACTCAATTAAAACTATGATTTTGATTTAAAGCTTTCGTGACTGCAGTAATTCATATTCTTAGCTCTTTCGGTAAAGTCACGTTGAAGGGAAATAATAAAAGAATAATATATATAAAACAATAAAAATTCTCACGACCTTTCG